ATTTGTTATTTAATGTTTGTGGCTGGCATAAAGGCTTCCCATAGACATAATATGATAGATTTCTATAACATCATGTCGTGTTTGTGGGCAGGGGCCAACACTTCAAATAAAATATACAGTATTAGGATCATTTCTGTGACAAAGATTCAGCAGGAATCAGCCGAAATGTGAGCACTGTATAGATAGTCTTAGAGTGATATCTCCCTACAGCAGCTGCCTCTGCTACTCCCTTCTCTGCCCCCTAAGTGTCTGTGCCGCTACCTGGGAGAAAGAGTTCAGCTCTTACGTAGTGAGTTGTGTACTGTACACTGAGTTGGATTCTGGGCGGCCCAGCCAGAAGTGCAGGTAGATTTCTGTGTAGGGCAAACTAAATGTGAACTGGCCGAACAAGCCCTGGCGGACGTGGAAATACTTGATATGGGCAAAGTCAAGTAATGCAAGGACAAATGCTCCTCCTGGTTCTGACTGGACCCCCCTCTTCCCCAGGCCTCATAGCAGCTGCATGGACTGCTATGGTGGTAGTTCTACCAGTTTTACATTGTCAGCTACTAAGCTGATACAAAACATAGGTGGACCCAGGGTGTCTATCACTGTACTAGACCTCATTAATATTTATAAAACAAGTTTTACTGTAGGCTTTATGTTGCAAACAAATGACATTTGTAATGTTACCTAACATTTTCACATTTTGAAGGCCTTCCTAAAACTGTTAGTATTGATTTAGGTTTACTAGTAAGGTTTAGATGGATTAAGGATCAATTATCCCTGTAGATATTTGCTTTCTAAATTAAACAGGCATAGTTATCACTTTTCATAAAATAAGAGATCCTCTGCTCTAAAACAAAAGAGCGTGCTCAGATGATGGCATATTTTACAGTCTTTTAAGCCAATCCCCATGCCTTTCAAGTCTTTTTATGGACCTCCTGTTCTAAAATGCCAGGGGGGAATGTCATCTTCATCCCTTTATTAAAACCTGATCAAGTAAACAAACTGCAGAACTGAACACCAGACAGTAGAACAGGCTGACCTGGCTGTTACATAATTGCCTGACTTGTTGCTTTAGATGAAGTGTAGCCATTTATTTGTACAGAGAGCAATAAACAATTTTGTGATTTGAAACATTTGTCATGAAAATGTATTGTATATACACAATGAATTAATTCTAATATCTATGCTCACAGGAACGTCCTCAGGTCCCAGATGACAGTTCTGTACTAAAAGTTATGTACTATATTATCTTGGACTTTGGGAATCCTCTGTGATGCCTAAAGTTCTTATGTTATGTTACAGCCTGTGAGGCAACAGGTACACAATTCCTATTGTGTGTCTTATTTTGTGTAGCTAACTAAGCTAAATAAGTAATAGTTATTTTGTAAAAAAGAAAAAGCTGATATGATAATAATTGCAGGGTGATATGGAATAAGTGTTTGCTATGTTATCTTCTCTGTCAATAAACAAGAAAAAATGATGTCTGCTAAGAGCATATTTCTGTACATAAACATATACTATAATTAACATGAAACTCTTCTAATTGGTGCATGTTTCTTTTTTCTGTTTAACCATAGTCCAGTATAATGTGCAATTAAGAAGATTGTAGGTTGCCATTATACCATGCTTTATTATACCATGTTGGTGAGTGATGTAGGTCCACACTTTCCTCATTTCTTTCACATTGTCTCCCTGCCTGGTCAGAAAATGAAGTACTGCCACAATACCTCAGAGAATCCCCTGGTAACCAGTGTCAATGACCTTGATGAGAAGGTGCAATTTTGACTGTGGGATGTTTAAATAAGGGGCTTATAATACCTTTAAGAGGCTGTTAATTAAATCAGAACCATGAAAGAACAGAGCTCTGATTGTGTTTCTCTGGGAAGCAGACTCAGCTGTGCAGGCCTGTTGAGAGAAAAAGGGAAGGGAACCTGGGAGGGGAAAAACAAATGAATGTAATTCGCTGCTGCCTGGAGCGTTTCATGGGAATGCGGCATCCTGTATTCTGCAACATTCACCGTTTGGGTGTTTAGAGTTCATTGACCAGCCTGCACTGCAGGATCTATGCACTGACTAGGCAATTTTGAAAAGCAAGATTCCTTCAGGACCAGCAACGCAATGGGAAACTTGAAACAAAAATTACCTTTTCAAATCTATACTGAGTTATATAGTAATGTTTTTATTACAATATATTATTCATGATTTTCAGTTCTCCCTTGACTGATTAGATGTAGATGCAGTTAGTTATTTATACATGCTTTCCAGCAACAATTCTTAATTTGTTTGTCATTATACTGTTACTTAATTTTGTTGTTACCAAAGCAATTTTTGTTATGCCTTTCTTTCTAGACAGATTTTATTCTATTTTAACGATTGCTACTACACTAATGTACACTCATCACCAATGTAACCAAACTCAGCATATTTCTCCACTGACCACCACTGCTCCCATGCACTTATAAACTGACCACCACTGCACTTGTGCACTTCTCCCTTTGACCACCACTGTACCCATACACTCATCCGCTGACCACCACTACACTGGCGCACCTATCCAAAGACCACCACTGTAGCCACATACTCCTCCACCTGCCACCACTACACCGGTGCACTTCTTCACTGACCACCACTGTACCCACCCACTCCTCCTCTGACCACCACTACACTGGCGCACTTCTTCACTGACCACCACTGTACTCACCCACTCCTCCTCTGACCACCACTACACTGGCGCACTTCTTCACTGACCACCACTGTACTCACCCACTCCTCCTCTGACCACCACTACACTGGCGCACTTCTTTACTGACCACCTCTGTACTCACCCACTCCTCCACTAACCGCCACTACCTTGGCGCACTTCTCCATTGACCACCATTGTACCCACCCACTTCTCCTCTGACCACCACTGCACTGGTGCATGTCTGCACTGAGCATCACTGGCACACTGTTCTCTACTTACCATTGCATCAAATAACTGTACTACACTAACTACAACTGCACCCACACACTTCCTACATATATTAAAGTTATATTTCTAGTCAAGCTTTTACCAGAAATTGAAATAAGAACTGCTTCTGTGCCTCCCCTAAGTAGTATAAAATCAAAATTTCTCTGTTCATTTAACCTCCAATGGATTGTTGCAATCTTCCTCCAGAGCCAGGAAGACAGTGTTAGGCCACTTTCATTCCTCTGTGGAGTTTTTCTCAAAAGTACAGCAATATATGTACTTTGCTGTATACTTTGGAACTTTGTATGGTCTCATTCCTGAACACCTCAACTAGGAAACAGCATGTGCTGCTTCATAGCTATGCTTCTTTCTAAATATCTTCCCATAATCACTGAAACCCATTTTTGAAATATTGCCTTACATGTTTTATTTATCAGTGGTCTCTCTGCTTTCATTCCATTTTTCGCCCTCTTCATTAGTCATATACATACATAAATCATCCATTCGGCAGTCACAGCAAATTAGATCTGAAGGCCTATATTTCTGCAGTGCCAAGAATACCTTTTTGCTGGTTCAGCCACCGGAAATCCTTTTCTTCTGCCAACAAAGGTTTCAGTTCCTCGTGGTACATTTGAGAACTACATACAGCACTACTGACAGCTCCGTGAACAAGGGGAATTCATCACACTTGACAGATTCATCTCTTACCTCTTCCTGAATATAGATATTTAGAGTACTGTATGGTTTTTCTTTGTATGTTTACATAGATGAACAAGATATGCCGGTAATACATGGTCAGATCATTCAGTGATAATAATGAAAGGTCCATTTATAGATGTCTGCAGTTGAACACTAGACATCCCTAGCAACCAAACTTTTTTTATTTGTACAAGTAAATATTTCTACAGTTTTTAAAGGTCAATGCAATTTGACACCACATATTTTTAGTGTTTTTGAACGCTGGCTCTCATTTGTTGGTTATCTGTATAATACATAAACTTTAGTAAGTATATCAAATTTGTCATTGTTTGGTGCAAAATGTTGTAAGCAGTTAATAGCCAAGAGTTTTTGAGTGACCAAAGTCTATGGCATTTGACTTAGCTTGAAAACAAAAGTCCAGCAAACAGCTAAATAGACTGTGGAAATACATAAATGTACTATATTACGTACCAAAATGTAGTTTTGGTCAGCTAAACCTGTGATTTATGCACCTCCTGCACATTGCACAACCAGACCTGATCATTGGACAGTAAACCAGCATCTTTGCCTCTATCCAATGAGCAGGGAACTGATCCCAGAACCTAGGAAGTAACAGAGTGATCTTAGCGACGAGCTGAGCCAAGTATATCACAAGAATGATTGGCCAAAATACAAATCCCTTTGACACGTAAAACAGCTGGCATATATGTATTTCTCTAGAAGGTCCACTTTGACAACTGTTTCCTTTGTCCCATAAAAGGTGCACAGAATCACCTGACTTGGGGATAGGTCGCATAGGGTTTGGGTGAACCGCAGTTGGTTTGTTTTCATGTTCTGTCAAAACTGATGCGAGGTCTTCCCATTTATGGCATAGACATATAGTATGGTTAGGTCTAGGCATAATGTCAAAAGTCCACCAGGTTCAGCCTGTTCTACCGATGATCTACCTACATCTCACCATGTAGTAAAATCAGTACACTTATTACAATTTGAAAAAAAAAAAGTTGGGAAACGTTCAACCTTTTTTAAATTCTGATGCTCTTCTTATACTGCTGCTCCAGAAGAAAGCAGGTTCTTGTGCACTTTCTCTAAAGGATCCTTACAGTGTATGAATTTAATGTGTTACGAATGGAAATCAGTGGGAAATTCTGGCTGGCAGATTACATGTTAAAAAGTAAAGTTTTTTGTAACCCCCCTTTCTGAGTCTGAGGATCTGGGCAGAGTAGCTTTCCATGTCACAGTTTAACAGAGGCCTTTGAAGTGCAGCCACATGAGGAGCGGAGCCCTGCACGCTACATTATACAGCTTGGAGCAGCTGGTTCTCTGCACACTCACAACATCTTTTTCTCTTTGTGTTTTACAGGAATTGATAGATGTTGACAGTGAGGTTGTTTTTGAACTGGCTGCGTACATCCTGCAGGTAAGACATTTTTCTTCACACTCTCTTATACATGTTGATAATATGAGGTCATTAAAACAGATGATCAGATCAAACCCTCTGTCCTTTACATCATATATACAGGAAATTCATTAATACTTTGAGATTAATTAGAGGAAAGGTAACATTTCCTTGTCCTTCAATATCCAATGTTGTGTCAGGTACCTAGGCTTTGTTAATCTCTGCTTGTATTTAATATGTATGCATTGTGGGTTTTTTACTTGGATATTTACTAAAAGGTCTGCAAAAAAGTATAACTGTACCCTAAAAAAGGTAGCTACAAAAGGCAGCAGGCATACTGTCAGACTGGAAATCTGTATGTGTATCTTTAACCAGCAGAAAGCTTGCCCTTCCCTACTCTATTTATTTTGGATAGAGTATGGAGGGTTGTGACCCCCAACTGTTTTTTGTTTTTTTTGCCATATGTGTCCCATTGGGGAGATTTCCTTGTTTTAGCCACAACAAGAAATGAAAGGAGTAGAAAGTGAGGGAAGGTCACCAGAACTAGCGTCTCCATTAGAAGATTTCCCCTCTATTCCTGTTCTAATGACAACTCAAACTTTGGGATTTTCTTTCACTTCCACCATAGGTGGATAACAGTCACCGAGACAAATATATGGTGTGAATCTTCCTAACAGGGACCCAGGTATCAGTGAAAACCATACAGGTGTTCTAATCTCTCTCCACTATATCCAAAACTAAAAAAAACTTTCGTTTTTTTGGCTTTAGTTCCACTTTAACTGCCTAGCTTATATGGAGCTGACATTTAATATACTGTATATCCTCCAGTGCTCCTTGAAGTGCGCTCCAGGGGAAGGTGGGGAGGTCAGGCTGGCTTGTAGCTTGTAGTAAATAGCAATCAATTCCGCACATTCCACTCACACTTTTCCTCCACTGCCCCTACTGACACTGCAAGAAGCAATAAAGGGTGTAAATACTACACTGGGCCCCTATGGGCTGGGTAGCTAGGAGTTTGCTTTCAGAAGGATACAAGTGAATGTATATGTTTATTTTATAGAAATATTGCAGCTAACTATGGCTTCTCTGCTTTTTTTATGGTAAGAATTTAAAATAGTATTAAAGGCTGGGCGTTTTTTACCTTAATGCATTCTCTGCATAAACTAACAAATATGCCCAGTACCTTTTTGACTTCCCCCACACTTACCTGTCAATGCCACTTGTCACCGCCGCTGGTCCCCGAAGCGATCCTTAGACTATAGGCTCCTTCTGCCGTCAGTCAAACTGTTGGGCAGAGAGGAGGGGGGTGGCCTGCCACAGGACTGTGTGTGTGTGTGGACACACTGTGGGCACGGCTGGGAACGCGCAGACACAGGTGCCTCCACAGCAGCTGTTTAGCTGTTTGTGGCACTGGTGCAGGGGGCGGGGGAAGAGAGGATGTGGGGACTCAATAGAAAAGGAGGAATTGAGAATTTTTTTAATTTTTTTTAAAAAATGATCTGCAATAAAGGCGGCCTCCCAGTGAGGGAAAAAAAGTCAAAAACCAAAAACTTTAATATCACGTTGAAGTTAATTGAATTAAAGAAAAAGTCTATAGAAAGCCCAGTTGTCATATAATTTCATCCTAAAGCTCCCCAATGTTCTCTTGATGTCCACATGTTAACATACTTCAGCACACTGTATTAATTATGTTCGTTAATTAATACAAAAGGTAGAAATGTAAATTGGCAAGTCACTTACAGTACATAAAGTTAGTGATAAATGTAAGCAAGGTGTGGCATTATGTTGGTGCTAATAAAGGTGATTCCTTTCACTCCTTATTCTGCTTTTGTATTTACTGTTTTATTTGACTTAAGGGACATATTTGACTAAGTAAAACTACAGCACAGTTAAACAAGCAGAAAGTTCTTTAGCAAGCACCATCCTGTTTTCACTGTGACAAGTTAATATACCTTAAAACCCAACAAAATAAGGTCATCAGGAAACTTACACAGTAATTTTAGTGGCTCAACAGGTACAGCAGGAAAATAGTTTTTGCAAAACAGATAGTAAACTTGAAGTTCTATTACTTTATATTGTAATAATTATAATATGTGTCAAACAGTAAATGAGTTATGTTTGGAATGAACAATATCTTGGCTTGTGTTCAGCTCTATCAATCTGACCTTAAAAGCAGAATGTATAGCTTTTTTTGTATAAATGTTATTATTCATGTTCAGAACTAACTATGGAGCACATACACTTAGCAGAATTAAATGAGGAAAAGCTCAGCTCCCTCTTCATTCCCCCTATAGCTCCATGTGTGCTTCAGTTACACAAACACAGTCAGAATATTTGCAACAACTGCTGGGCTTTCTTATTAGAAAGCCCAGTATGCTATACAAAAAAATAATAGTAGTTAGTCACCTTCAACTGGACTTGATCTGTAAAGGTGAAGACTCTATCTTTACAACTTTAATGTGACCAACTACTGCCGTGTTTCCCCGAAAATAAGACACTGTCTTATATTTTTTTTTTGGCTCACAAAAACACACTAGGTCTTATTTTCGGGGTAGGTCTTATTTTTTTTTTTTTTAATGTACAACAATGCACACTTATTCATGTACAACAGTATTCATGTAATAAAATATGGTGATCAGGGGTGCCGTACCTTTCCAAGAGCAATTTGCTAAACAATCGCTGGCCAGAATGAGCAAAGCGCACTTTCACTATCGATTCCTCACAGGCGGAGTGCATTTGGTATCACTACGCCTGTGACAGGAGCCGGCGCTATAGAGGAGGCTTCGGGTTATGCGGCTCTGCTCCCTCCGGTGCCGCTTTGCTTCCTCTAGCGCTGGCTTCGTTGGCACCGCTGATTCTCTCCCGCAGCTCTTCAAGTTCCCCCTTATGCCACCACCGTCCCTGGAAATGGTCACAACTAGGTCTTATTTTCGGGGTAGCTCTTATATTTTAGCAATTCCCAAACATAGTACTAGGTCTTATTTTCGGGGTAGGTCTTATTTTCGGGGAAACAGGGTACTTGCTATATCTATACCATGAGCTAGAAAAATAAAAACCTTTATAGACATATTGACATTATAAAAATGTATAGTGGAAGAACCCTGTATTAACCTCTTGCCGTCCGCCCGTAGTAAAAAAACGGACGGACGGCACTGCAGCATCTGCGGGTTGCCGTCTCCAGACGGCAATTTTTTTCTGCTCGCGCGCGCCCCCTAGCGGGCACGCACGGGCAGAAAAGACCCGCTAAATGCACACACCCGTTACCGGGTGTTTCACATATAGGCGATCGGCGGGTCCATAGCCCGCCGATCGCCTATATGTGCTCGTTCGCGGCACCCCCCCCCCCAGGGTTGTTATCCCCCTATATAATAGCAATACCAATAAGTGCAAAAAAAATAAATATAAATAAAAAAAAATAAAAGTAACACATAAAAAAGTAAAATAAAATAAAAGTCACATATAAAAAAAGGGGAAAAAACCCCCCCAAAATGTTTAACTCCCCCACCCCCACGTTTACGCGCCTATAAACGTAAATACGCGTCCGGTGCCCCAGCGCGCAAAAATTACAATTGCGCTACACATGTTACATATCGCCGCGAACGTCGCAGTGAGAGCAATCATTTTAGGGCCATCAATCACTGATAACACTAAACTGATGAGCGGTAACAGCTTTTAAAGCGTCGCCTAGGGCCAATTTTGGGTATTATCGTTTTTTGAGGTTTCGCGCGCGCACGCAATTTTAAGGCTTGACATGTTTAGTGTCTTTTTACCCGACGTGACCCCATCTTTTATATTTTACCAAAAAATTGGGTAATAATAAATGTTTTATCATTTAATATAGGGGAAACTGTTTTTTTTTTTTAAATTTCGGTAATTTTTCCTTAATATAGTAAAAAAATAAAACCCCCAGTGGTGAATAAATACCACCAAAAGAAAGCTCTATCTGTCCCCAAAAAAGGGTATAAAATTCATTTCAGTACAGCGCTGCATGACGGAATAAATGTCAGTTAAAGTACCGCAGCGCTGAATACTGAAAAATGGCCTGGATGGGAAGGGGGTTTAACACCGCGGATGTCAACTGGTTAAATGTTTATCATTAAGGGGTTTTAAAAGTAATAAAAAATTATATGCCAGTTTCTGAACTTGTAAACTTTTAGAAATGATCTACTGCAAGCTGGAACATTAGAATCCAGAGGAAAGTGAACCTAGGCTCAGATTCTCCTTGTAATTATCTGTAGTACATTTATCTTATATGGTAGTCTTCTCTAATTAACTTTGCTTCTAAGTGGGACTGAATAAATATAGCAAGTCAGGAAAGGACCGTGCAACAAGATTACTATTGTTGAAGACACACAAAGTATCAGCGGAAATCTTGTGTTGCTAGGTGGCGTTTTTATTTTTTGATTGTCAGAGGGAGACATTGTAATTAAATACAAACAGATCAGGGATGAAAGCATCCTAGCAACTCACTAAGCATTAAGTACCATTACATAGGAATATAAAGTGAGGCTGAATAGCCTCTGGCATGCATGGATTTTCTGCATCATTAAATCGAAGGCTTCCATTTATGCATGGTTCTGTCCCCTCCCCCACCCCTCCAAATGGTTAACGTTTTAGCAATATTAACACAGGACCACTAGTACTAATTCTCCAAACATCTAGTAAGTTCTTAACTATGATTTCATAGATGTGTGAGCAATCTCCTGGCAAGGACTTGGGAAAGTTGCCTGTGTCACAAACTGACTTAGCAGGAAGTCTTCCTGAAAAACAAGACATGAGGTTCTTGTCTTCTGGAATTTTCTCTTTGTAACTTGTTTGCTAGACATGAGTCCAATGGAATGCTGTACAGTACAATGTATTACATTACTTGACTGTACAGTATCTCCATGTTGTGGTGGTATTAATGGTGTATAGCTACTTTTTTAATAAAATGCCTTTATTATGCCTATATAATCACTTGTAAGGCCTCATTTACACTCAACGCAAGCAAAATTGTATATTGCGTACATACGCTTCTATGCGCG